TAATGCGTTTTCGTAATATATAGAGAGCAATAATCGTTTCGTATATAATAAGAACTGTACAATTATTGTTAGGGTTGATAGGATAACAGTCAAACAGTTGAAGCCATTATCTTACCATGTGTGCTCGAACAATCTGCTCACCACAACTCTTCTTGTGACTTCATTAAAGCGAAACCTGTATTTGGCATACATCCAAATACGCCATCTGCATATATGTTTAGTAAGAACTATTTATTATTTACGATTAGCAATAAATAAGATGAAATTAACAAAGCCAAGGGTGCATTGAACTTCGTATATTTGCAGGCTATCGGTCATTCACAATCGATTTGTCTTTGTGTTGAATAATGCTAATAACCAGTATTGGCAACAATATTCGAAGGAGCTTTTAACGTAGACGATAACACATTTAAAACAGACTGCCCCAAAATGCGAACGACACATGAAAAAATATTATATAACAATGATATCTTTGTCGCTACGAAAATTAATAGCTAATTCCGATTTCTTGCAGATCGCCAGCAACTAAGACCCGACCTGTTGATCTCAGCTGTGTGAACTAAAAACTAAGAGCTTTTGTTTCGCTGTGCAGAAATACTCAAGTTCAGCGTGAATATTTCGAAATAAAGATGATTGAAAACTCATCGATATTTTGATTGCTATTGTAATAAAAAGAAAAATATAATCTCGATAGACACTCACGTACACTATTTAATTCAGCATCTTCCTATTCAACTCAACACCAACGGGTGTTGGCTACTGTGGTGTTTGTTTGGGTTCTATTTTTCCGGCTACTTATGTTCTATAATTTAACGCCGGTATTTGTTTTTGTCGGGCTCTTTCTTTCAGAAGAAAGACTTAATGAATCACCACCACTACATTAGGATTTATTGTTAGTATCATTGTTATAACTAGTGTTATTATTCTCTGTTAATTAGATATTTTTTGAGAAATGTCGTTTGTATCTTTCTTTTATTCCCTCCCTAAATTACCGAGACATCACACTCAATACTACCTTGTGAGTGCATATGATCATTTTTAATTTTTTTTAAAAAAGGACGAGATTTCATATGCGTTTTTAGCATTAACTATCCAGAAGCATTCTTCAATTTGCTTGCCGTCGTTTGTTTGCTTAAGGATAAAAAGAAACGCGCGAAAAGATATCGAAGCATAAAATAGGAATCATCGGGAAAAACAGTTGTCCACTAATGTTTATATCAGTATGTACCTGCGTAAAACTTGAGATGTCAGAAGTAGTTACCAAGCCATAATAACCAGAAATCACATTTGACACGGCATTTCATCATACACATGTTTACGCCGGGCTTAGACACCAGAAATTTCCCTGACAAGGAAGCCTTCGTTGGGTAAATTTGTTTACCTTTACGCCATTCGAACTAAAATGTGAGATATTTCGTCATCTTTTTCTTGAATTATTGAGTCAAGCTGGTCAACTATTGTCCTTTATAATACGATATTTAGCTTGCCCTATTCCGGTCAAAAAAAAATTGGGACAGATTGGAGCCTTAATTTCGCACGTATATTCTTCATTTTTTTTCGATTGCCTTCATTTAAATCTAACATTTTAGCGATTTGAGTCTTCTTCATCACTTGCTTCTTTAGAAGTCTCCTGAATGCATATGTTTTTCATCTGCCCCTGTCTGATTGGGTATTTATGCAAATAGCTTCTCAGGTCCTTTTCTTTTCTCCCTTGTTTTTCTTATTTTGAACATTTTCGCTCAGACTGGTATCATCATCATCAACATTAATAATTATATATCAGTCCATTTGTAGTAGGTTAATATTAGTTAAATTTATTATCGATTTTCGATTACTTTTGAGAAAAACCGTTTGTGCATGAGTTAGGTGTGTCCTTGTTTCGTTATATATATACTAACAGATAAAATCTAAAGGCATGGCAAGACAGTTCCGTTCCAGGGAGGGAACCGGAGCAAAGTGACCAATTCGGCTCTCTCTTACCACTACACACAGCAAGCGCCGTCCTAGACACTTACAATAGTGTATGCCTATTCACGCGTTTTCCCCTATAAAACGCCTACGCACCCCAGTTGCTGGTAATATTGTCAGTTTTCCTATCGTAGTTTAAAAAACACTTGCTTGTTTTCTTTTCACGAAAAGCATACATAGCATACACGACAGCGAAACACTTAGCCGGTACTTTTCCGTCAGGCGAGTGCGATTCGATCATGGGAACAGCAGGCGCATTTATAGAGAAGCTCTAATCGTTGTTGCTGCTGCTGTTGATTCCGCTGCTGCGATAAATTTTCAACCGAATGCATTCACCTGTACTGTGATCGCATTCTGTAAGATGACACCGAAGATCGATTTTGTGTGTGTTTTTGAACAGAGCTTGCTTTTCCATTGTGCTGCATCTACTTTCTCTTCTCCGCGCTGCTCGGATGACTGTACATGGCGGACTCAAGGTGATAAAGGTTCATCGAACAACTGGCGAACGCTGTGGGGCTTTGCTTTGTCTCCCGGTCGAACGGCTTACTGGAGCACAGTAGAGCGGCAATAGACCAGGCTGGCGGGCAACAGTGCCCGAGGATGATTGCCTCTTCCTGTATTTGTTTTTGTAATGGAATGTACCTGCCTCCGTCGTAGCAGTAAAGTTGGCTTTTGCAGTATGTGTGAAACCGCAAAATTTGTGAGTCTAGTCAAGGTAGAGTCACAAGCAAGGTCCAAGTAAATTCTACTGTTTCTGACGCTGCCAACGAACCGCTAATGGGTTCGTTATCATCATTATGGATTGATTTGCCAATGCTTCGAAGGCTAGGGGCAGATCATCATCAGAAATACGATTGTTTTTCTTCTATGCGAAGAACTTCACTCGCTGAACCCCGTCCCTTCTCGACACCCCGACCCCGTCTTGCCCGACCAGCTAGCAAGCTAGTCCAAAAGAGGTCAGAGGCGGAAGTCGTTTCAATCCACGATTGACAGCTGCGCGAAGCCCATTAAAGTTCGCTGGTCGGGGACAGGCATTGACTCCGAACCCGTTGTCTGCAATATGAACGGCACGAAAAAGTGAGTCTTCTTGTCGGAGCGATATATAGTTTAATTAATAATTGGCTAGTTAATCAGTTAGTCACGTTTCTCACGTTAAAAGCATCTAAGCTGAACCGTTTTCAAAACTAAAGACGCTTTCATCTGTTTTTTTTTGACGACAGCAGTAATATGTTAAGTAGTATGTATATGTAGTGGCCCTCGTTCGAAGTGGTACTTAGCAGGATCCTTGGGAATCATACAATATATACTCGTTTTTGTCCTTAGAGAATTGAGTGCTTACCTATCTCGTTATGCATTAGCTCTTTCATCACTTACCAGCGGGAAAATAAGCGACCTGACGTTAGCGGTTCCGTCTATGAGCTTCTGGAGATTGGCGGCCACAATGACCTTATCCCTTCCGTCCACGAGTCCCGCACCGACTAATTCGGCTGCAATACCTTCCGAGGTATCCTACAAGATAGAAGAAAAATAACAGAAAGCACATTATATATATATATAAAATATAATTTAGTCACAAATTATGTTCAACGATATAAAAGAAGCGGCAGTCTTATACATTTATTTATCTTATTACATCACCGTAAGAATAACAAATGAGCAAATTCGTCCGGCTAATCCGGCTAGTGTTGCAAGCAAATACATAGAAGAATGAACATTTCTAATTTTCAAACATTTCCTGCTTCGCTTACGCGTAACTATGGCTATTAAATTAACTTGGCGCATGCATATATATACGCACATACCTTATCCCTCGTGAATTCGAACTTAATATCGTTGAGTTCTTTCTTGCCGTTTCGTATTCTGAGCGCGAGCTCGACGACGGGAAGATGGGCTATCGAAGAGGAAGCTATGCCTTCTTGGGCCAAGGCGGCTGAGGGGAGGTTTGAATTTGCGCCCAGTAACGTCGCAGGTCCAGGGCCAGCGGGATTCTGCCATATAAGTTGATACCGACAACATGCAAAAAATAGTCACTAGTTTGAAATTATTTCGATATTAGACTCAACTCGCAAAGGAAAAATTTTTGATAAATACCTTAAGTTATGATTGTCAAATGGAGCAGTATATTTCAGCACTCATTTGACAATATATCAATTTATTCCCAAGGGATAAAGTCCGACAAACTTCACATATTGTCGCAAATTGACGCTTTACTTACGGATCCGTTAGTAGGTCCAAGAGTCGTCGATGACACGGGTTGTTGATTTGTGGGCAATTGGCTATTGAATTGCTGTGATTGCGTGAGTCCAGCTGTCATCTCTATACCGAGTGAAGGTGGGCCTGTCGTGCCCGAATCAGACGACGATGTACTTTGGTTGGCCCGAGAAATGGCCTCTTGTCGGGCAGCCAGCTCTTCGGCGGAGACACCTCCGACACTGCCGGTAGATGCCCCAGCTCGTCCACTGCCCGCGCCGCTCTCCAATTCCTCCCCACTGCTGCCCTCCTCCCCATCCGACCAAACCCAGTCTCCCGTCTCTGTTCTGAAAAAGCGATCGTGAAAACCGATAATGATGTCAATTAGCGCCAGTTCCAGTTGAATTTGGCATAGCCATTTGATTCATGACAAATGCTATGGATAAGCAGTTCATAGACAAGAAAAATAAAAACAACTCAGAGATGACAGTGATTCGCAATATTATAAGCTTCGTATAGAAACGATGGAATTTTTTGTGCCTATTTCGATACTAATATTTTTAAGATTTTTAAGACTAATATTTTTGCTTATTGTTCATATTTTCAAATAACAATGTAGAAGAAAAAAATCACAAAAAAACAAACGTTTAACATAGCAGAGTACCACATAGAATAAAGAATATTTTTCTTAATATTCTGCTCTAAATATTAGCTGGCTAGTCATATGGCTAGAAATTAAATTATATAAAAAATCATCAACGTAGCATCAGGTAGAGTTTAGAAACAAAACCGTAATGATAAACTCCTGTCATGCATGGTATTTGATGTTAGTCGACAACATGGCTCAATGTGGACCTATGTCATATGTCTATTACACACTAGAAAACACTAAAAAAATTAACGTTAATTTTCTTTTATGTAATCGATCTTGAAGTAACTGAAATTACCTGAAAGTGACTCTAGAAAAATCAATGGTGAAAATCACATGTTGAGAAACAGGTTATTGAATACATTTACACTATTCTTGCAAACATTCTAGATGCTAGAAACGGAAATGCACCTCCAAGTTAACATGGCTTACATAACCTTCTACACATGGAACTGCGTCATGCACTACCAAAGGCACCTATTTCGCCGCTCTGAATACACGTGTCGCCGTTCGTCTTGCCGCTAAAAAAATTTTGACAAATTTGAACGAGGTGAGAACTAACGTTGATTCGCGCAAAGAGAGGTCTCAGAGTGAACTCGTCGGCGGTGGCCTTGAAAAAGAGCCATTGTACATACATCTGTTGAGGCCCAAAACCCTTCGAATGACACTACTAATCAGCTTAAATGCACGACCAGTTAATCGTATACCTTTTAGAGCAGTCCTTTATACTATATAACGCACTCATAATACATAGCATGTCCGTACGCATACTGCTGCAAACTCTGAAGTAACGGAAAAGCTAGAAGATTTATTATAAAACTAAAAATGACAATTACTGCACCATCCGGAAGTACATTATAAGGCTAGGCTCGTAAATTCTGGCGAAAACCACGAGCCCTTGCTAAAACTGCCGGTAGTGGCCACATTAAAAATCGTTGCTTTTCCTAATATGCGTTACACTGCAGACGTAAGGGACCCATCGACATACTGGCCGGGGTCCGCACTTATAGACCCAGGGCAACTGAATAAGGCAACGGCAGGTCACCAGCAGACCCAGCGGAGTTCTCAAAAGGATATCTTCAGCGAAAAGTAGTAGCAGCTGAAGCTGTTGCAAGAAACCCGAAGAGAATAGACTGCAACTAAAAGCCATCAACTATGTGCGACAGCCAAGCTCGTCCACTGATGACGACAGATTCTGCTACGCTGATAAGATAGAGTGGCTTTAGGTGCAGAGCCGCTGTTCATCTGAGCTCTCATTTTGAACGGAATGCAGTACTCGTCAAAGAACCCTATACTCATACTGGTAGCAATAAATGCCGCAACGCATATGAAAACGTTTAATTGTTCTTCTTCTAATTCTGTACAATAAGAAACGATTTTACGCTTGACCCAATATTGCTTTTTCTTTCTCAGTAGATTGCTCTTCATTTCATACGGATGGCGCGCGAACCAATGCCAGGGCCTTAAGAGGCCACACGTTTCTTTAAAGTTATTAATCGCGATCGTGAACGGCCAAGGAGCGCAGTTCTGTCGATGCTTATGACCTCATAGGTAAACTAGCAGACAGCTAAGCTGTATCCCAGTAGCTTGTGACAGCCGTAAATAAACACCTGCGTATTTCTACAATTGTTTTTGATTAGCAGGATTTTAGGTTTACGGATAGTCAATTCGATTATCTGGTGGGCTAGTTCGCTTTTTTGAGAACCAGTTAGGACGGAAACGACTAACATCTCATCGGGACTTATCTTACTGAACGGTAATACACGTGCTTGCGCTCGTGGTCGAAGCGACTTACCTAGCTTTAACTTCTCAGAACAGACAAGCACTACATTCCGCCTGAGCAAGTGACGTTAAGGTTACTGGGTAGTGTGTGACTGCAGTGAAAAAACGACCACATATAACTGGTAATACAGACCCACAGATGTTAACATCTGTGGGTCTGTATTACAAACGCTGGCTGAGCGTCTAGATAGTGAGTTGATCATAGACAAAGAGCAGAACCTAAAGATAGCTCTACTACAGGAAAATAAGGGTAGATCAAAATAAGTAAAGGTGACGGGGCTAGACGACAGTTACAAGATGCGATCATTCCCTGCGAAGTGTTTTTAGAAACACAGGCACTCCCAGTGGGTTGACTATGAGTCGGCTGATGGTGTCTTGACTATGAATTTCATTCAACCTTTTCTATGAGACTAGAAACTAGTGCTTGGCGAACTGAGTATTTGATGCCTATTGAGGAGTGAACTAAGTTTCTTATAATATAAATGAGTGAATTAAGATTCTTCCGCAGCAGGGTAGTCAGCGGTATCGACTATCAGAACGAATACTCAAAGACATTTGTTTGTGTTTAATGCATTTGCATAGAGAACTTTCTCTTTTTTTTTTTTATAAAGTAACGGCACATGTATTTTTCGGAACGGCAGGACACCCGTTGCACATCTATTGCATGACAGTCTTCTTAGATAAGGGATACTTTTTCAGAGCGAATGGCATATTTTTGCCGGATTTAAGTTCAAAGAAACAAAGCGTGAAGCATATGACATACGACATTCACGTGAACAACCCTTGTGCAGGTTTCTAAACATGAAAAAGTCGTGGCTTAGAAACTTAGTGAAAGAGACTGAAAAGAGCAACAGCTGCTCAGGTATGTAGAACGCACAAGATAGGCGGGAAAATAACTACCTAATTAAGTATATAACTTATCTAGTGTATAAAATAAAGTGTGGAGAAGTCGCTCACGAAAAATCATGCTTGTGAAGAAAGGCCTCCATGCATAAGAACATTGTGCTATTCAGAAAAAAATGGGTGCAATGTGAGCTTACCTGAAAGACCCTACATGACTTTGTATAAACAATAAGCCGTATAATAAATATGGCACAAACCGCGGAATCTAACCTTCAATTTCACTATACTGAGACGGTATAAAATAATTGATCTAATATTATTAATAAAATGACCAAAACATCATCAACATTAAGATTTTTAAATGCAAATACCTGTGCAGTCTCCCTGAGGCTCCGGGGTTTCTTTTACTGTGCTTAAGTCGCTGTGCTCTGTGCTCTATCGTGGGTGCACACGACAATAGCGTTTGAACAAGGTAACGTTTATCTTTACTTTTACGGAAGAAGGGATGTTTTAATAACTCTGAGGCAGTTGGCCGTTTCGTAGGGTCTTTTTGCAGGCACTCCGAGACCATCTTCCTGATTGTCTTGCCATAAGCCTTGAAAAGAAGTAACTATTAGAGTTGAAAAGAACTTCTTGAATTAAAAAACAAAGCCAGAAATATCTCTACAAATTTTTATTTTAGTGAAATTCTCTAAAGGAAAATTCTACGCATTATGCAAATTTGTAACAAAACTGAGCCAATAAAATCATATTATCGTTTCTTTTTTCTCATAGGAGAGGAACAATACTGCTATCAAGATAAGCATGCTAAAAAGCTAGTAAAAGGAAAAACTGTACCAGGAAATATGGCTTGGGTGGCACTTTAACGAAGTCAATGCGTACCTTGTATTGGTCCTTATCATCCCCAACAGTTTCAAGTGTTGGGGGGTCGTTCTGTAACGTCAGCATGAGAACTTTCATAGGAGGATACTTATGGTACGGCGCAGTTCCCGTAACAAGCTCCATCGCAGTAATACCTGTAGCAGCAAAAAAAGCATCTTCTTGGTTCAGCACTCGAAATATAAATGACTGGATGATGATGTCTATATTCTGTAGCCTTACGAAATTTCAATAATGACCCTGAAAGCTCGTGTCTTGTTGACTAACCAAAACTCCAAATGTCGGCTTTGAAGTCGTATCCGGTAATTTGTTCCATCACTTCCGGCGCCATCCAGCAGGGCGTTCCCACAAACGTGTGTCGGGATTTCTGTCGAGAAAGATCTCCGCCTGTTGCTAGCCACGAACTGACGCCAAAATCTGTGAACGACACATCCGCGCATATATTGGCACGTTTGTCAGCATCAACTACAATTAATTCAACTTAATTATTACAACGAAAGCAAAGTAAGTGTCTACCATACTATAGCGCGCAACAGCCACAAGCGACTAAATGTAAAATGAGACATTTTCGATTTCGTAGTCTCGCTTCTGCTACTGTATACGATTTTGAGCAGATGTGTAACGATAATCACGCGACAAATGATAACTGCTAAATGTAGATAATGTATTGCTACGAACCTGCAATTTGTACGGTGCCATCTTCTCCAAGGAGGATGTTTCCGGCCTTTATATCCCTGTGGATTTGCCCGTTGTTATGGAAATATTCCAGTCCCTTAAGCACTTCCCGAAGCACCGTGGCAATTGTCGCTTCATCGAAAACACCCTGTCGGCAGTCTTCAGTCTTCATACGATGCTGCAAAAATAAAGCGATATTGTCAATTTGAGAGCCAATATCCTGTAACATTTTTACGACAGTAACTATCAACAACAGATCAGTCCAGGTTCAATGATGAAACTAATGTTGTAAAGTAATGTATGTGTTTCGACTATCTGTTGTTTTTTGCAGACTTTGTCAGCCATGCTATGAATAGAGAATGTTCTATTAAATTGTAAATAAATGTCAACGTTTTCATATCATCATCGAATCATTTACCTTAATTATGTCAAGCAGGCTTCCGCCAGCTAGAAGCCGTATGACGAGCCACAATTCGTCTTTGACCACAAATGAAGTGTAGTACGATACCACATTTTCGTGGTTGCAAGCCCGCATGGCCTGAATCTCTTTCTACAAAAATAAGAGAAAGGGTAAAAACGAGTCATGCAAGTGGTCTATTTTTCCTTTGAATATACCATGATTACACGATTTCAAGGTTAATTCTTATCATAGAAAAATGCTAATACTCACGAGCAGCTCGTCCATAGAAGTATTCCATTTTTCGAGGTTGATTCGTTTGATGGCGCATCGTTCCCTGCGCGGAAGGCATAACGCAGCATGGACAATCGCGGTTGCGCCAACACCTAGGCAAACGGAACCATGTACGAAGACACTGTGTGAGAAAAAGGTATTTTTGGGCCAAAGAAATCAAACCTAAAGGCGAGGCAGGTCCTATGGACAAATCGCGTGACGGTTCCTATACGTGTTCGTAGAGCTGGTCGCTTTTCGACTGAGTGTCAGGTAGAGCTATGGCTGCTTGCGAGAAAAACCTGTATGATAGCATGTAATAGTAAATCCTGCTCGTCGGTTTTTCGAGGGTCTGACTACTTTCTTAGATCTGCTAAGGCTAATTAAGACAACTTGTTCAGAAACTGGTACACAACATATTTTAACCATGTAGCTAGAATCCCCGGTAGGCAACAAGAGGCCAGGCATTTGCATAACTTTTTGTTTAATAATATTTAAGGAGCTTCGTCACCTACTTTTAACTGATACGTCCATTGACGTGAGTTTACACACTATAGCATTGTTTTTTAGTATTGTAAGAACATGTGTACTAAGAAAAAGGCTCAACAATACAATTTATGACGTATCAGCGTAATATCGACAAACACTTGATATTGCTGTGATTGTGTTGTTCAACCAGCCATACTAAAATCTTCATCTAAATTCGCTTTTGATCATATCTACGGGCAAATTTCTGTGCAGCTGTTTGTATAGCTCTCCACAACTCGTTTGTAGTATTCTGATACGCGGCTGGGTTTTGATAAACAGCTGTATAAAAAAAGCCTTGACAAGGCCATAGTGACGCTAGGATCGATAATTACACAACGATGAAGTAGTTACGCTATTGGGCGGATAAAGCTGAAAACAATGGGAATGTTTAAGAGAGAAAGTAAGCACAGCTGATACCTGTGTTAGAGTCGGGCTACCGAGATAAGGTAGAACTATGCCAAGAACATCAAAAACACACGTCATCTCGATCTGATTACAGATCTGAAGCTGATTAAGATATTGTGTGTAGACGTACCAGTAGTGAATACCAAGTAAAGACTGCACTAACATTGAAATAGGGATTCGCAATGTCGGTTTCGGTAGGCTCAGAAATGTAGATAGGCTAACAATTAGATCGATCAGTAAACAATTAGCTAACAATCATTATTATTGCTATGAAAATATGCATAACAGAATTTTATTAGACTTTTATCCAGATCATACACACAAGCCTTCAGGCAATTGTTCCACTGAATGCATCTGTTATATTGATGAATCCGAATAGAAAGAAATAGCTGCAAAAGCGAATGGCAACGACAACCCTTGACATTAGCATAGAGATACAACAGAAAGCCTTAAATATTTTTAGACTATGTATTGTAAATGGAGCTGACTAAGCTATGGAGGAGCGTCCATGTCAAAGTCAACAAAACCTATTTATTATTTTGTATCAGTTGCTAGAGACAATATGTAAATTCTAACGTACACCGCACCTGCCTTTTGTGGACGCGGAAGCTTAGGCCTAAATTTAATTTAAATAGCTTTAATTTATAATGAATATTTTATTTGCCACTACCAACGTCGCATCAGACCGTTTGAACGAATATCAATGACAGAACATATACTATTACGTAATAGAAATACTTGAGCAGAAACTTTCATAGTCTGCGTCTCGGTGTTTTTCGTTTTTACATCCGGTTTGGCGAACCGGCTGGCTCTGAAGTCTGCCTATGGCCGGGTTTGAACCTGTCCCAAAGGTTAGCAGGTGAATACATTACTAACTAAGCTATCACGGGATGATCGCTCAGTCTACTACAAAGCACGTTAATTTGGAGTTTCTGTTTTTTTTGGAATTTTGTCCATATGCAGCATGCAGTGTATAAAAGCTGCATAATGTAAACCATTATCCTATACAAATTTTTTGCCATAGTAGTTATTTTGATTGTTAATGTAAATATAGTATAGCATAAAGCTTACAGCTTTTGGGCTAGTATAGGCTATACAACGATTTTCGTTTCATTTCAATAATATTACACTCCTAGGAAATTGCCTAAATGTAAGCCCCAGAAAAAAAAGCTCCCATGACGTGTATCAACGAAAGCACGACTTTTTTTTTCAAATCCTCACCACATTTCGTACGAACGAATATGTCTATTTTAACCTCTATTCACAATTAACATAGTCATAACATTGCCAACGTTCATTATTCACACAACTATGTGAATTAATTGTTTTAAAATGTTGCAGTAATGCACGTTGCAATGAACACAGCTGTGAGCATTACTATTAAGTTATAACCTGTAATATCCTAGAACAATGCTAATTAGACGTACGTGTGCAAAATAAAACGTTTGTTTTATTTGTTTATAAAGCGAAACCATAAGTAAAATTACGAACGGCACAAAAACGTATGATAGCACTTGACCGCTAACTGTATTAAAAAAAAAAAAGTCTTGAGCAGACACTTTAAAAAGCTCTTGCTGAAGTTGATTTCGTTTTTGAGAACAATGTTTGATGATGATGATGATGATTTATGCTGACCAAAATGCAAATGATACTGCAGCGTAATCAATAGCATTGCATTCAACTTACTGCCAACTTCTGTAATCATAACAACAGTTACAAACCTTTTCAGATCTGTTCGAGATGATATGCTCACACACGAGTATTTCTCTAACAGCTACACGCTAACCCAGTGGAAGATTCGTATAAATGAAAACTCTGGAACCCCCACCCAATGCCCTGCAGCGACAATTATTTATCCAAATTTAATCCAAATAAGGCTTTACGACCTTAATATAGAATATACCTTCCTACACCTCAGAACAAATATGAGTACACCGCAGTTACCACCGCATTAGAAGGTTCAATACATTTCTTCTTTCTGCAGAGACCGAAACCTCTGTTGAAAGTTATTTCCGTCATGCCGTACGGTATTTGCCTATGTTACGTGCCGGAACACTGAATCAAAGCAGCATGGAGAAGTCAACTAGGATTTCGTAAACTAGATCACTATTTACTAACACGGGCGATTATCATTATATCTAGTAAATTATTTTGAAATAATATACGAAGATCAGAGGGGCGTCTCTACCGCATTCACTGCACATGTGCAAAATTTCCGGTTGTCTTACACAAAGCAACATTTGTGAAACAATTTATTTCGAGAAAGTCATGCCATTTGCTGACATAGTATCTAAAATACAAAAAAAAAATGTATTACCAATGTTTTTATTAAGTTCCAAGATAAGTATGCAATAACTTCCCTGACTCGCTTTGTTCTACGATATCTAGCTGAGCTGCATATTAAATCAGTTCTCACTGAAAACTTGCTTCCCCAGCATCCGAACATTACCTAATCAATATTTGTTGAGCCGCTGAGTTGACTTGGCAATTGTCAGTAGACTGTGCTCTCTCTACAAGGTCTACAGCATCTACACCTATTTCATTAGTATTGAGGTTGCCCGTCTCTGAAAATTACATCAAGGAATATACCCTATTCTTTTCGTAAATCAAATATCAACACAGGCAACAGCGTAGTGTTTACGTATGACTGTCTATATAGAGATCAATGAGCTTTTACGTCAGGTATGTACATACGAAGCCGCAGTCGGGGAGGCTTTCTAGCGAGATCAGGGCCAAGTAAGGCTAAGCCAAACTCAGCAGAGTATACTAGCAACGCTACACTGCAATTTCTCACACGCAGAAGATGCTTTTGTTGGCAATAACAGCCTACAGACAAATTCTTACGAGGTTACCGTACACACATACCGGCGATAGCACGAAGTTTTGCTGTCACCTAAAAAATGTTCATAGCTCATAGAAGCCCTATGGAGGCTCCCACTGAAGACTGGCGATAGTCCGTCGTCGATTCTCCTATGCCAACCAAACCGGCGCTTCTGTGGCCTATTTATTTTTCCTCACGCTTATACAAAGTGGATAAATACACAAACACATGTGTAATGACAGGATATATTTTGACCATATTTGACGAGCAGACTTGCCTCACAAAGAATCTCTTGCCTAGAAAAAATTAATTTTTGGAAGAGTATGCCAAAAATTCAAATGTCGTGCGCTAGCAAACAACCCACCCTGCTAAGCTGGGTAGATTTGTTTGACACCGGACAGCAAAATGACATTATAAAGTGGGGAATCAGCGCGATTACAAAATCGAATCTTCCTCGTTCCTTTCTAGAATAGACTGCTTCTGTAAGTTATCCTCATTGCAGATTTCGATAGCAAGTATATCTGAGTGTAAATACGTCCACCTAGGACATTTGCTCGTGCTGTGAGAAATATTTCTACACCCGGTAGATATACTATGGTGAGAGCAAATAGTTACATTGAGTAATAGGGTATTTATACGAGTGGCTCTATCCACTCAGTAGTAGTCACTAAAAGTGAATCTATTTACAATTGCGTCACATAATGAATGCTGCTAGTATAGCGAAAAGCTCTATTATTACATATGAAGAAGGCTGTCCTCGTTGAGTCCTACTCATCATTGTCCATGTTTCCATGGTGAAAAATATAATGCGTGTTTTTCGATCGCGTCACAGCAACTATTTTTAAAAGAAAGCGTTCTAATTTTTTTTCATACGCGCTTCTTTTAGATGAAGCTCGAGTTTCATTCATTGATACGTACACCAATACGAAGAGCTTAACATAGAGTTACTGAGCAAACATACAGCCAAACAATTGTAAAATATCAACAGGCCAGTAAAATAGTAATGAATTAATTTATATATTAACGAGTAGTGCGGTCAATAAATTAACCTCATTTTTTGACGGTTTCCTTTACAGTAACAGTGTGGTAGGGCTAAGAAAGCGTGTGCGGTATCTGTTCGATATAAAAGGTCGACACAATTCAGGTTGCGCAGAGAAATGGTCTGAATGGGAAATGCGTTGCCATGACAACCATGAGTATGCCGCCCTGACTGGTTCAAAGTTGAGTATTATTTAGCAAATGGTTACCATGCTGTTTTATAGATGTGTTAGAGAAATCCTGAACAAATCTAGCAAGACCCACCCCGGCTAGACCACTAAATGCAGGCCTACACCGAATAGGTGACTTGTTTACGCAAAAGCCGAAACCGTTACAATAAAATAATCAGGCAACGCAGTCATCACCGGTTGCAAAATGGGTAAATGAAAAAAACGCAGACATATTCTATTTCAGCTTGGCTGCGCGAACAAACCAGATAGCACTTCATAGCATCTGTCGATCACTTTGTTCATCCCTGTACCTTGTACTACTCTCTCTTCAGTTATTGTATTGTTGTTTGCTGTATATCGTGACTCATGATTTTGCCCACTGGGCCTAAATGTACTTCCAGTAAAACGGCTTTATCTTCTGATCTGGGGTACGATCTGACCGCTTCGTTATTCGACAAACTATATGCCTGAACACAGATCGCTGCATCAGATCTTTGTTCTACTACTGAAAGAGCATCGCTTTGAGCCACGACCGATGGCTGGCCAGGCACAAAAAAGGGAAAAAGTGTAACCGTACTGGGCCTTTACGATTTTATCATTCCGAAACAAATTTAAACGTACAGACTACTTTTTAAAAAACCTTCCAGGCCATAATCACAACGAGGCCAGTACCTTTTGTTTGTACACCCAAACAATGATAGCCGCGTAACTATCATACTGTTTCATAGTTTTGACAAGTCCAGAAGGATCTTCCACGATTAAACTTCTAATTAAAGCAAGTTTTTGATGGCATACCTAAACGAAGTGACTCCAACAACTTGTTTACATAGAAAAAATATAGCTGAGTACGTCAAGAAGAAAAAACGAAAAACAAACAATACTTATTATGTCAACTCTCCCACTTGATAGATCCATTCAATCCCAATCAAATATGCTTTTTTTGCAGCGGCGACATCGGGGCAGACAAGGATGCTGAAATTTCTCAATCCGACCGACAATCTCATCAATGTCAGACTCAATTTACCTAGTGCATTCGGTGTTGATAGGTTAATAATGGCGTCATTGATGATTACACAGACTTGGCTGGCGTAATGGAGACTACTCGCGTTGTTCTTACTATCCTCAGCATCGTCATCAGTAGTGCCAAGTTAGGATGAGTGAGACTTCTCATTTCGTTAATGTCTGCGTACCTATAGTGCGCCTACACTGACGAAGGCCATTTCATTACTCGGTGCTTAGTCCGGCGATGCCGCCTCCATCATTAAAGCGATATCCCACGTTGGCTACGTACACATTTACGGACAACAACGCTAAATTACAATATAATCGTCCTTGGCCGGTGTACCCTATGGGCAGGCGCAAAGTATGCCGCTAGGTGCGAATTCATTTTTCGTGTATTCCCGTTGCACCCTTGTCCAGTATAGATACTGCTTGCAGACGAGTTTCTCTGAAGTAAGCACTGGCAAACTCGACCGAAGGTTTAGGAAAATGATCGATTGTTAATGACCCTTATACAATTTCTGTGGTGCACTGACATTAAGTTAAAGAACGATTTATCGACTGCTATTAAATCGGTCTGATAAATTATTTGAATTGAAAGCGAACAAATTCCGGTGCAGTCTTTATTCTCTGTGTATATATTGTAATAAGAGCCTGATACATTGCATAGACATTGTATGTGTTTTTAACTTGTTAAGCCAAAAGTGAAAACAAAACCTAAAGCTTGACCGAGCCATAAAAACGATGTTTTTACGTAGTTGCTAAATCGATGCTTTGTCTAGCAATTCGTCCTGCTTTAGTTAATCTTTTAGTCAGGAAGGCCCTCTCAATCGACCGTAATACCAGTTCAATGTTACTAGTTTCCTTGATACTTTACAGATGAAAAAAATAGTGAGAGAGATACTCTTAGTCATTCGGGCAATGCCCTGGTAAAAAAAAACTTGACTGAAATGTTTGCGGCAGCTTAAGATACGGCACGTACTTATAAACACACTAAGGGATGGATCTAAACAGACCGGCACACACGCACGCAAAGATGCCACCCACCCAGAACTAAACAGGACGACCCTTACCGCAGTCGCTTAAGCACAAGGACGCAATACAGGCGTTACATATGCAGCAAAGCTCGACGTTACCAGTTATCCGTTCGATTGGTCATGTAACCACTACACTACGAACACCAATGTATAGACCCATACCGTAACGTTGTCGACCGGATAATAGCTCGTTGCATACTAATGGCTAGGGAACTATTATACAGAAACTAATCGTTCATAGAACAAATCATTTGGCATTCGAGAAGCAGTCAGCAAATCCGTATTTCAAACCTACTTGCCGGTTACTGTTGTTCTAGTAAAACTAGGTGGCGCTTTACCACCACCTTTTTTGTGTGTTTTGACCACCACTTCTAGGCCCTTCTGCTAATTAATTAGCTTTATGGTGAATCGGCAAATGACCATCCTTCCTAGAACCATCCTAGGAGTGCTATCACGTTTGCCTTCTTCGTTGGCAGCTGCCAGACAAATATTATTGCCCTTTACTTTGTATACACTGTTATAGTATGCAGGAGCAGAGCAAATCACACAAGTCTCAATGAGACTAAACGATTCCAATTGCGACGCTGTCGCCCGCCGGCACCCGCTGACTCCACTTGCGTCGCTTCCCTCACGAGGTGAGCATTACCATTTTTGTTGGGCACAACATCGTATTATAATATGATTTTACAACATTGGCGAATGGAATGAATGCTAAAGTCATCGTTACATTGCACTACAGTAAATAACGATTGCAGTTTGCACCGGAGCTCGCCCATAAGAGCCTTTGGCTGAGGCTGCCTGGTCATACCAACAATTAGAACGTGTCTAACGACATAGTGTCGGCCAAGATACGCCACATCATCATCATAGGCTTATGGTTGTTGCGACGCAAACGAGCCGAGTGGAACTGACACATAATGGCCATGTCCCGGTCGTGCAGCTGCTGCCGACGCCAGCGTATTAACGTGTTACCATCGCAGCTGGCACTGATCTCATCAGGCTATAGAAGCACCCAGTGCCGTCGCCAGCTACCGAGCACAATACTGCGTAACGAAACTCTAATACTAACCTATTTGAGAATAACACACGGTCATGGGTAACAGAGCGCGTTTACAACAAGTCTATCAGCATTAGAGAAAGGCTTGTTTGCTCTGTCAAGGTTTATAAAAAAAGTTGTAACTTTCATAAAGGTCAAGCGAAGATACAAAAGATGTATCTATTTTTAGTGCACTTGAGAGTAAATGGCATAGTGATCCGGAAATATATTATCTAATCAGTAGCTATTCAAGGACATCGATCAGCTCGATAATTTACGCGAACCTACTTATCTACATAAGTGGTAACCGTTGCTAATGAACACAGCCTAAAGTAGAAGCTAGAATGTCGTGCAGAACGTATTTTGATTTGGGCGTAACCTTTAAAAAGTCCGGCGTAATAGGTCATGTGGAGCCTAAATGCCACAGATGGGCGGTACTCGATTCATTTTTAGGTATAACAATGTATCGATAAATAGGGCGTTACTTGACGAAATCCTCGTCAATTTTCGACAAACAGTTTAGCGTCATTCAGGGCTTGCTAGTGCGGCCACACATGCGACAACAAGCTCCTCAGTGCTACATGTGATACACAGAGTGAACCCGGGCAGCAAAAATGGAGTGGGGTAATCGAACAAGCGTCTCACACCGTTTCATCCTGTATATTTCATTGTTAAGGTCCGTCTTAGTGTATCGGAAAAAAGCTAGCGCCTCCAACAAACTGCTACAATGCTATCCATTAGCGCGAGAATTGCAGGTTGTAATTAGTATTTTAATTACATGAAATCATATATCCAAGACGCGCGAGCCGAAGCCGATGGAGGACGACTACGCGCAGCATTCGGCTGATTGTTGTCGTTCTACTCCTGACGTAGAATACCACTTGGGAGTTCTACACATCGTTTTGTCTTGTGGACACTGACAATTAGAGGGAGAGACAAAATAAACAAGGGTTAAAATTGGACCAATTCTATTGTTTCACTACGACATCGTGTAAAACTGCCGTATATGAAGATCCTCGAAACATGGGTGTCTGTTTGTCCATTAGTTTTCACTAGCTCTTTCACTTTATCTTTGGCCGCACAGGGCTATCTAATCGTTCTATGAGCTACAAAGCGTTACAACACATACATTGAGGCGTCATTGAATGGCTGCTCGAACCGCGCATCGCTAACTGGTCCGGTCAGAACTGCCTGACTTCTACAGACCACTAATATTACTGTAAAGGCACTTAATCACAAACTATATCCGTTATTTTCCTACCAGGACCATAACGCTAATACTTACCGATTACCTCGCCCAGCTCATAATCGTCCTTTGATGCTGGCCACTTAACGGGCTGCTGTTTATCCTCGGTCATCTTCTGACCAGCCGCCACTGTTGCAAGCAAAGCTTGCTGCTGTTGTTGCTGCAACTGATGATGGTGCAGCAACAGTTGTTGTTGTTGTTGTTGATGCTGAGCCGTGCCGCTGTTAGTGACTGATCCGACGGCCGCAGCACCTCCACCACTCACTCCTCCACCCACACCACTAGATGACGGTAATCCGCTGGCGCCGTAATCCAATGAGCCGCGTGCCGCTCCCGCACAAATACTGCGACCACACAGACTGACAGCAGCACTAGCACATGCAGTGCCACTTACGGCGGCTACACCACCACTAATCTCGTGCGCAAGCAGATGTCCCTGCTGCTGCTGCTGTTGTTGTTGTTGTTGTTGTTGTTGTTGCTGCTGCTGTTGTTGCTGTTGCTGCTGCTGTTGTAGTAAAGGATGATGTCCTCCTGCTGCTGCTGACTGAGATGAGGGTGCTACCGCTGCTCCCGTTGCTGCTGCTGCTGTTAGCGATGATGTCGTGTTCGAGTCGTCTGCTCCGTGTAGTAGAGCGGGCGCGGCCGCTGAACCAGCGATTGATATAGCCTGTTTGGCGCTACCTTTTCCTTTTTCCCTGCTACTGCAGCTGCTATTGTTTTGATGTTGCTGATGTGTTTGGTGATAATGGTGGTCAACGGCGCTTGGACCACCGGCCCCGACTCTCTCCTTTTCCGCTAGCGAGCCACTGCTGTGATGCGAGGACGAGCCACCCGGCTTGCCAATCAGTTTCACGTGCGAATTCAGCAGGGCAGCGGTGGCTGATAGACGACGCAGCATGGGATTGCCACCGCCGCCACTGCCGCCGCCCATGGGATTGTCGTCGGATATGCGAACCTCACTGGAAGTAGGGAGCGAAGTCAAGAATGCAGGAGACAAACAGGTTATATGGAAATTCGTAAAGAGAAAAAGTATTATAGGATTTATGCGCTTACTAAATAAATAATAAAGCTACTAGTACGATTTCTACACAACGAATCAAACAACGAGGGGGAATGTTGCGGCAGTTTGCAAGCCAGCTAGCTCATCATGTCATCTTCCTTTGTAGTACCAGTGATCCTACAGACAAAATCAATTAGATGGTTCTTGTTGTTGCTGCTTAATAATCTCATGCAGTACATGTTTTCTCGTGCTTTGCGTCCGGTACTTGATAAATGACTTAAAATGTTTTATGTGTAAAAATTTGGGTATTTGAATCGCCCGCGTCCACCCGATAAAATTAATCGAGCATCATTATTGCAGCCTTCCACGGGTTGCAAACAGGAGAGGGAGACACGATACGCGTTCGAAAATTCGGGGTAAGGGACAAACGTGAGAAGCTGTGCCGGGAGCGAAAGGGCAGGTTATCGCAAACGCTACAACATGGGCATAAAAAAGGGTGTTACCTAAAGGACGACGCAAACTAGACCCAGATGTAGAGAGCGATGTTTTTTAGTTACATCGTTGGTTTCTTGCAGTGCTTCGCGTTCTTGTTTGCGATTACGAGTGCGCGCGCGTCCAAATCAAACCAACGTTGCGGTGAGAGAGGGATTCGACGAGTTTTCTTTCTCAATGGGAAAGAACGAAAAATGGGGACTGCGCGCGAATTTTTGAATCAGAGATCGTGCCATCGAACTCACGTTTGCAGTAAAAGTTTCTGTTTGTTACTGCTAAGATAGCTTCTCAGTGATACAGTGTGAGTTAAGAAACATTTCATGTTACAGTAGGCCATTAGTAACACAGATCGTTCAAGCTAATCACGAGTTTGAATAAATGCACGTCTCGATCAGTTCGCGTAGATATGTTAGTTTGCGCCTAAAACACATGTACACGCTCTCAATTTCCTATCGCCACCGATTTGCCAGCGTTCTAAATAGTATCGGTTTGAAATCTAGATGGAATCTATTGAAATGGCTCACATTTATGCATCAGTATTATTTCTAACTAGATGATTTAACTTGCCACCGAGAAGTATGCTTAGTTATTACCCACCTTGCATCCTTGAGGCTGCCCCTTCTCTCGAAAAAAAGCTTTCCGACGTTCATATTTGATAGTCCTTCGTTGACACTCTTCTTTGTCCACACACGTTTATCACAGTGTAGATATCACAACAGTAGCAATATGTCTCGAAGTTCAATAAACTTTCTTAAAGTTCAACCTGGATTTCAGTGGGTCGGTTGTGTGTTTTCGTATGCACGACGACTTACTGGTTATGCCCAATCTCGTTCGTTCCGCTTCTCAACTGCAAAAAAAAAAGGACCAAATTCACTAAACCTGCTGTTCGTCAAATACAGGGCCTGTTGTTTTGAATATTTTTAAAGTGCCTTATTGCCTGGCCTGAACGATCGGGCTTCTGATCGAAGGTGACGAGGGCCCTCGGCTTTGAATCGCGCAAATAACATCATACGCATATGACGCAGTTTGCAAGAACAGAGAAACTTATTGACTCATTCATAAAAATTAGCCTTATTACAGTAATCTCTGAATATTGCAGGGGTTAAACATAAAAATGTACTGCGGAAGCAGACGTAAATGACAACGACTCGTATAAAAGAAGATACAATCCAGTTTAACAAGTATTTACCTATAGCATTTAAAAAAAAAGGATCCGATATAAAAGAGTTTGAGGTTAGAAACAGTCCAATTTGCTTCACAGTTAAATGAGTTAAATAGATAATGAAATGTAATATCTATCAATTTGGAGCTTATTACAATACAGTTATAAAATCAGTGACTATCTAGATTACTAACTATATTATCGTTTCTGGATTCCAACCACAAGTACACTCCATATAATAACAAAATCTCAAGTTATTTATTAACAAAAAACACCAATTAAAACTAATTACATCTGCGTCAAAGCAATTCCACACTGGATTCCTCAAGATAACCTCTGAACGATCCTTTCCTTTCATTTCATCAAAGCAGATTTCTATATGTACATAAAATCTGTATGTATGTATTTCAAGTGTTTGCATGTTATTTGACGAAGGCGAAGGAGTTTGATTAATTAAAAACGCAAAATGTATGGCGAATATAAAGTCACGAGGCATGAGGATTTCCTGCTGCACCTTTCAATGAAAACCATCACCTTTTCTGCATTTTCAACTTTGAACAAAATAATGCACTCTTTGTACACGAAAAAGTAGTGGGCTAAACTTTCCGAATAACGGCTTTCAATCTGGGATTTGCAATCAAAGCAGTTTTAAGACAAAGTGTGAGGCCTATTTCTACAAATTCAGGACCACTCATATTTTAGGTCCCTAGTAATCACTGCTATGCTATGATGTAGTGTGTAAATGTGTTCCTTCCACCTGAAACTATTACCAATTCGCTGTTAGACGCCCGTTTATTTCACCCCGCTCCTGTGTTTACCTATCCACTCAAGTCTTATGCCGTAGTTAACCATAACCTTCCTTACTTTGTTATGGGGTCGCATTATGCTGCTGACACTTAATGCGATGCATATAAAAATGGCGAGACAAAATACTACTGTTTAGTCCTGGTACTCTTGTGTTTAATACTACTTATAAAGTATGCCACTAGTAACTATTTGAACATATTCAGAAAAGTGGTTTGTGGTTTTTGGCTTATAGTGAAACCATCTGTAGGCTAGTCACTACTGGACCTATGTGATAACAATAACGAAAGATTCGATGGCCCTGAGAGAGGCCGTGTATGGTGTTTTTCCTACCGCTTGGTGTGGTACGTTCCACGCCGCAAGAGTACCACGAGTCGTTAGTTTTGAGTATGAAAGTAAATTATTTTAGGCGTGGGGTTTTCTCGCAGGAACTCACCAAAATACGTGCAAAATAGCAACTGTGAGAATCCATCATGCTAATTTCATGTGCATTACATTTTTCTTGTGTAAATTTTACGCTCCAGGACAGGTGTGGCTAAATAAATGCAACACAAACTATATTCGCTTTAAATAAACGTAATATAATTATAAGATATATACATTCCTTATAAGTCAATTAGCGAAGTTGTTGTTCTTGGATTGTGTGCCACGTGAACTTATGACTGCAACAATTAAGTGGTCGAACTAGGAGATCCGATTGAACATTTCTTTAACTTCCTGGAACCTAACAGCATTAAACAAAAGCCGACACTTAAGTCGGAATTATTCATCGTTCCAAACTGAGGGTTGGGCAAAAAATAAGTCTACGGCCCAACTTAAAAGGGTTAATACTTTATGCTTTCAAAAACGCAATTCAAAGCCGGATTTAATATCCAATTACGACGCAACCACGAAATGGCGCGACCACCGCGAAAACACAGCTGAGTAAGATTTTCTTATGTTACTATTTATACCCGATAGAATTCGACGCAGAAATTAGATCCAGCTGTAGTTGCGCCTTGAAAAGCATCGTTGGACAATAGCATGTGCTTCAAGCTCGTAACATATCGTTATAAAGACAATATTATATTCAAACACGTGTTTATCCGAGATGCAGCACTTACTTGAATATACCTAAACATTATACCTACCCAATGTGTCTGATTTGTATTCATCGTGGGAACTTCATTTCAAAATCTATCGGTAGCAATGAGCTGCGGTAATTAGATAATGAAGAAGACGTTACTTATGCAACACGAACATTGAATTATAGAACGACCTGAGTGCTGTAGACATCAGTGCAGGCTCCTTTTTAGCAAAATCCATTTAATCCATGTAGTCTTTGATGGCACTTCCCTACCATTCAGCATAGCCATACGTGAGAGGTTTTCAAAAACTTCGCTCACGAATTCAAGATGATTTTAGCACTCAAATAACTATTTTTTTTCACTGGCCTGAACTGAGTGATTAACGCATGCCTCTCGTTGCCATAAAACAGTACTTTGAAAAGCATTCATAGTTTTTTCTCTCATCAAACTCGCCTTATTACAGGTTATACAGAGCATGTTTTACAAAGCTCACGCAGTTTCATGTTTGACTTTTGCGTAACCAAGTATTGGCTGAACTTATGGGTATATCTATGTAACTCACGGCTTATCATCAATCGGAACTGGTCGCTTGCTTCTTTAAGACACTGTGTCACTGAATACATTTTTTTGCCTCAACATTGTACTTGTGCCGAGATGGAGACGCGTGGACAAATTACGGCTCTCTTTTCAAGTACTTTCACGTCTTTGTTATTTACTTTCTTGCTCCGGCTCCACTCAGGCTTGGCCAAAGTAAGGGTTTGCCCTGAGTCCTTGCCAACAGTAGGTAGATTCTACGATCTAGTAAGTCGAGCAGCAAGCTCATCAAAATACTTCATTCACAAGCCTTGTTCCGGTTTTCTTACAGGAAAATGGCGGAGATATCTTGATCATAAACGGCGATGCCATAGGGGCGGTTGTATCAATATCGTTCTCAATATCGATCTAAATGACATCATCGAGATATTTTGTCCGTTGTTTTTTCTCGGGTAGCAAAAAATGAAATAACGATGTAGCTATGTTAATAGGACATTTTGACGCCAGTGCCATTAGTGGCAATGTTGCAAGAAGCATGTTGACGTCTGCTCCATCGGTCCGTAATATTGTAGGTCTTGTCTTATGGTTTGAAATAGGTTGTTTATTGTGAGAGTCGAATCATACTGTTGATAGCTACCGATTGTTATAGATCGTAGCGAATGCAAAGGTGCGTTTACATTAATCGAACACGAGAAAATTGCCTCTAAATTTCATAGACTTTTCAGGTTACGTTCTCGAATCGCTCTGTGTACCAGGCTTTCTGTAACGTAACACGCTCCCACGCGTGACGCGATAGCTAGCGGCCTGTGCATCATCAATCAGTGGGCATTGTAAATAGAGCTCTGGGTAGAAAACACAATCCAATTTATTGACGCCATAGTTCGTTTGAAAATTCACCCAAGCGTACCGAATTCTAGTAGTCCCAGGTTTTCGACATGACAGCAACGAAAATTATTTGCGTGATGTAACGAGTGATATATATTTTCTGTTGACTGCCACGTTTACTGAACAGACACAGTTCAGTGATTCATGATTACAGCGACTCGTGGCGTCGAGATAAGGAAATGAATCACGCCGATGTCGCTGCATATAAATTAAGACTTTTATGCTTTTTCCTTTGAGACTATCTAAACAAAGGCAGATATCTCAAGGATAGTGTTTGCGCGGAATCGGTGTGTGATTCTCGATCGTGACGATTATTTAATAGAATTAAAATTCAGCGCGATTACAGTTCCAATTCAAATCCTAGGCCGTTACAAAAATTATTTAATGTATTCCTTCCTTAATACGCAAGTGACTTTTTAGTAACAGTGTGTCAAGTGCTATTGGTAGGTTTAAGCTTGTGGAGAAGTCACTTAAATGCTGCATGCAGTAATTTAAGCAGGATTAAGTTTTGAGTGGATAGCAGGGCAAAGGTCTCAAAAAAGCAAAAATCCAAAGCTGTCGATAAGTGTAACAGATGTAGAGGGTCTTAAACTGTATTTTTAGCGCTTCGCTGAACGATACAGGTAGTTATTAAGATTATCCTTTCTAAAGCGGCCATTAATTTTCGTATAAAAAGCCCAGATGTATTAGAAATCATTTTTCTAGCCATAATTTTGATGAGCTTTTCAAATCTAAATTCTATTGCAGATCTTAGGGTTTATCCTACGAAAATCTTAATCGGATTTTTCTCAAGCCGCCTGAAAACTAGCAATAGCGTACACCGTAGATAGTTCTTCATTTCGTTGACGGTTCATCAGGCGCGAACAGATTGGATGATGGCTTATCTTTGCTCGAATTGAGGAAATGAAATTCTGTTTTTCGCTATTACGGATGTCTTGTTTTGTTCCAGAAAAAAGATGCCCTTCGTCTGGTAACAGTAATGGATGAACGCAACCCTGTGCGTGCAGTTACGTACGCAAACACTGGCAAAGCGTTTTGTCAATGACTATACGATGCAATTTTGCACAGCCAAGGTTTTGTAGAGACGCGTCGATGAATATGCATCTCCGAGCGTTAAAGTATATAACAAATGTATACATAGGTACTACGCCCGATTCAGTTTGTTCTCACGCCAGTCTCTCGTCACCCAGTTCGTCATGCCTTCAACGGTAAGTGAAGTTCAGCGATAATATATTTTAGTACTCGCCTATGCGATGTGCTCTATGCCGCTTCATTATGTCCCCTTTTCCGATTGGATTCAATGACGATGCAATCCCGTGGATACAATTGCGTTGGGATCTAACTAGCTATTAATTTTATTGAAGTTCTACTCGATAACTTGCACCGAAAATAAAGGCGAAATTCCGTTATTGTTGAGTTGTCATGTTTCACAACTAATTAGTCTTTGCCATATGTTAAATGGATCACGCCAATTGGTAGATCGACCATAAGAATTTGCCATTGATATAACCTTATCTTGCATTGAAGTCTCGCATCTTTGGCCAGTGTACCGACACAGCGTCCGCATAGGCCAACTACAAACGAATAAGTTATCGCATCTACAGTCCGCGACCGTTTTCGTGTGAATGTGGAAAAATGTATATACGCCGCACGTAAAACAGATGCTTTGCGGCCATACCTATATGAGTATCTGCGTCTGAAAGAGCACAAAGTTTGAGAAAGCTAAATAGATATTTCCGAAAATTCGTATCGAGTGGAAATGATCAGGTATACACAACGAACTCTTTCAAACCTTACGAACGAACCCTGTTACAATAGGCGTTTCTTTGCTGTTTTCTGTTGTCTACTGCAATCTAGCTCCCTACTATTTTGAGGGATATAGTGTCCATTCGAATGACGTGTGAGGCGCTGTAATGCTGCAAACATTTGTTAATGTCCAATACGAAATCCTAATCTGTAGTTGTATTGCATAACATCAAGAAAGTCAGAGGTATTTTCGAAATGAATCGCGTACAGGCTCAACCTTGCAATATATATGAATCAAGATTTGTCATCAGTGGCAACTATGACCAATGAAGTAACGTGTTGATCCTATAAAGCGGGCTGTATTTGTTCAAAACCAACCGAATTATTCGAGCTCTTCATGAGCGAGGAACTTGGCAATTTGCGTTGGTTCTCAAATCATTTTCTCGTCTCTATGTAGTTTAACGCCGTTTAACCGTTCATGAAGGTTAGAGCCATTACACGTAGGCACCTCCTACCAAAAAGTTACCAAAACTTTTGACAGTAGAACAACATACATGTGCCCATACTAAAACGAACTCGCGTTAGCAGGCAGTGTCAGGCCGAGAGCACACTTTAAGGACAAGCTAGCAATTGGTAAGACACCGCTCTGGCAATAACAGCATAAGACCTTTTGTTATACCGTGAAAGAGTTTGTATGTTAAATATAGTACAAAAACTCTCATAATGCCTGGCCCTCCCACCCACGAAATACCTAGCCATAATGCCAGCTATGAGTACCTTGAGCAAATAAGGCACGACTGAGTAGGCGTCGCCAAACAGATCAGACCATCTTGAAGAGGTTTTTATAGTAGAAGCAGTAACCGAGACAGTTGACTGATGGTGACGCAGTGGTGACGAGGACGCCACTTCAAACATGTTCCAGTGTTGCGCGCGGTGGCTATTTATATCGTAAGTGATTTAGTGACGATTGGTTGCATCAGAGACTTCAGTTATGATCGAGAGACTCGTCAAGAACCAGATAATAAAACGAGATATTTTGCTTGTACGAATTTCTATGTGGCTGTACTGAGCAGAAGTAACCATGGACCCAAATAACGCGAAAGGCTGACAGGGTACTGGAACAATTTACGAGGACCATTTGATAATAACGAGATAAACAATTCAATTGATAATAAGACTATAGCGAAGCCAGCCGCGCTCATTGCGTACGGAACAATATCCAATTATGTAAAGGCGCTGAGGATAACTTTTTATTAAATTAGTTAATTTGTCACTCCATTTAACAATATATCTGTGACTATAGGAGATTTGTACTTACAAATTGCTAGCCGTAATATATGACTCATGTGTCAATGTTTAAAGCTGTTATATCAGTAAAATGTAGGCGTTACGAGTGAAAAAAAAAAGTATAAATTGATAAAATCTAGAGCACAGAAAGAATCACACTTATTATTTAGGCACTGTTACCGACCGTCATCTCTGGCGACGGTTTGTTGGAAGTATCTGGATGATATGCATACATTATCATCAAACTCATACTTCAGCCTATGCATTTTACAAAACTATGCCCATTAATTGAATAATAGCTATTTTATTTTTATTTGTTCTTGTAAAGCACACTTCTTAAAGGAGTCGTAGAATGTTTTACGATACTGTGACTATCCGTCTACGCATGTAACGTCTCGGGTTCTCGTCTTATAAACCCATTGACTGCGATACGCCACCAAATCTGATTCTAGGCCAATGTTTTGTCCAGTCAACAGTTCCATTGATTCCTGCTCCATCGCCCTTATCTATTATTAGCATAAAGATATGACTGCCAGTATACCATCTGCGCTAGCGCAACTATATCTTCTATTAAATGTCAGCGGAGCGTCGATTAATTCGTCGTTGAGTATGATACCAGTCACTATCCAATTAGTAGCTATTTCTACTTTGTCTATAGTACGAAACACGCAACCCTTATTAATTTGCTTGACGGACGAATCATTCGATGGTAGCCCTATGTGGTAAGATAGATCACAGGAAGAGACTGGTCTGCCAGGATTAATGGTGGAGCCGCCTGCCGGTGGCGGTAAACGTGGGTGCTTGGTTTAGGGTTAACAATACTTTGTAGCTGATATCCAAAGACAAAATTAAAAAAGCCCATTCAGAGCTCCCCACAGGCCAACGAACACTGGTCTGATGATCGGAGAGAATGTTTTCTTAGGTGCCATGGATATTTATCGAAATATCCCGAGTAGGCAAACTGTGAATCGCGACCTTACTAGATCCTACCAAGATCGCAAACAGCTCACAGCGAGTACCAAGTTCTTATAGTATATTTGAATCTTTGAACTTGAATGATTTACTAGTGCTTGGAATCATGCACGTCTTCAACTGAATATAGCTTATAGATACTGCTATCCGATACAACAATATGAAAAGTCACGCTTGAAAAGTTCTATATGGATTGTTTTTACTTCGATTTCTGGCCTTGTTTTGTCGACTGACGTCAACGGCAATCATTCTCTAGCAACAAATACAATGAAATTGCTCAAGCTCCCGTTACTCTAAAGGCAAGAATTCGTGAAATTTATAACTTTTAGTGTCCTAGGCCCTAATTGTAACGCTTACTGCTCTATTTTAAACGAAAGCGACTTAGACTAGACACACGAGCGCTTCACTGACACAGGCCCCCAAAGGCGATCCTCGTCCGGGTCCTTGCAAAGCAGGCCAGAAACTAAAATCGCGTTACTGCAAAATTAGTTGCTCTACATCGAATGGTGCCACCGCCAATGGATTTCACGTGTGCTAAAACTGTATTCAGCAAACATACAATAATAGCTAATTCAAGCCTTTAGCGCAAGAAAAAAGTAATCTGCCAGCACCAGGGTGAGGCAGTGAGCAGACGTACTAAAAGATAGATTA